TTCGTAAGTAGAGGTACCACTGTATAAAAATCAAGGCAATGCTTATTTTACCTAAGTATAAAAAATTATGGGAGACTGCCAGGAATACCCAGTGATGTGGGTAGATATTTCATAGGAACAAACTGACACAAATACCTCTGAATATTCCTTGCCTAAGAAAACCCTTAAAATTCATGGGATCACCATAAGTCAATAGGTCACTTAAAGGGCACATTAACTGCCATCAGGTTGACTTTGACTTACAGTGAGTGACTCTTTGAATGAGTCATCCTATCATCAACAGCTCTGCTCAGTTCTTGTAGACTCAGGGCTGTGGCTTCCTTAATCGAATCTATCCATCTGAAATACAGTCTTACTCTTTTCCTACTGCCTTCTACCTTACCAAGCATTATTGTCTGGTGGGTCCTTTCTTCATGATATGGCCAAAGTACAACAGTCTCAGTTTATTCAGTATGGCTTCTAGGGAATGTTCAGGTTTGATTTGCTCTATGACCCATTTGTTGTTCTTTTTAGCAGTAGAACTCTTCTCCAGTATCACATTTCAGATGAGCTGATTATCCTCCTATCAGCTTTGTTCACTGTCCAGCTTTCATAACTATACATAGAAACTGGAAATTCTGTGCAATCCCAGACATAACCCTTTTGTATGATATATGCAATATATGTGTTTATACTTCATATAGCTTATATTCCCAAAATCCATTCTAGTCTCATGGTAAATTGCTTTGTTTGTTTAAATGTAGACAGTACGAAAACATAAAATCTTATTTGTTGTATTTGTTATTCCCCCCCCCCCAGGAAAACCTTTGATATCCAAAGAAAGCAATTTAGTAAGCTGAAAAAATTTAATTTTGCCAAGTTTAGCTTTGATGATGATTCTAAAACTAAATTATATCTCAAACTGAACCGAAAGGAGCACTCCTCAGTGTATAGCAAAGGTTGGTGAACTCTATAATATTTCTGAAATTGAGAAAAATATGCATGTATAATAGTTTCAGTTAAACAGAAGAAAATGACAATGTGAGCAATAGTTCTAAATTTGTCTTAATATATTCTAATCATTTTTCCACTGATAATTTGTTGCTTTTAGTTCCTTTCTCTTGTGTTTTATTTTTTAAGTATGACACATATAAGCATACCATATTAAGATTTGTCTTTGAAAATACAGTTGTCCCTCCATTTTTGAGGACTTCGAGTCTGTGGTCTTGCTTTTCGCGAACTGGCTAGCAGGGAGGGATATAATGGCATGTGTGCCCATGGTGCATGTGCAGGTATGCATGTTTTTTGTTTTTGTTTTTTCTTTCTGTTTTTTAACCTTTGTTCCCCTGTTGCATGTTGCTTATAGAGGAATATCACATCAGCACAGTACATGCAGTTTTTATTAACTTTATCTTAAAGTGATGGACCAAGAGAATATATGCTGGAATAGCAGCTGTATGATAAGAACACTTATTCCAGGTTATACTTCAGTCTACTGGGGAATGGGAGACAGACCAAATTTTGTTAACTATAATACCTTTTGATACTTTGGTTTCTGAGAGAGTGTTTAAAGCTCTGATACATGTTTGGTGAAGCACATTTTCAGTTGCAGCCTGTTCTCTGGAGTGTGCCTCAGAAGATTTGAAACAAGATCTTCAGTTCTTTCCATACAAAAGGAAAAAAAAATGTGAACTTTACCTTTGAAATGCTCATCTGTTTCCTAATCTGCCTCAAGGCTTGTCTGGTAGAAATCTGTAGCAAAGAAATAACAAGCTTTTTGCATCATTTTTCCTACAATACTCTCAACCATTTTAGAAGCCAAATTACAAAGAACATCACATACAAGACCTCATTAAGTGTGTATAATATTGAAGAAGATGAGGAAGTGTCACAGTAGAAGGCTATACACTCACCCTGATCTGCATTCGTTCATTTGAATATTTTGAGGGAACCTCAGCACAAAATGGCTTGCTCAGAGATTCTCTAGAAGTTTAAATAAATTCATGTAGATTAGAGAAATGCCTGACTCTTAGTTTCACTTTCCTATCCCCAGTCTCACCTTATCCTCTATATATGACCATTCTACACAGAAGCCTAAAAAGTGCTTAATTTCACACCTAATCAGTGGAGTGAACACTGGACATCAACAGTATCACTGTTGTAGCAGTTTTCTGATGTAATGCCACTGTGAAATCATTGTTAGCTACCCTTGAGTTGATCCCAACTCATGGTGACCCTGTAGATGAAACATTTCCAACATATCCTCCACTGCTCTGCTCAGATCCTGCAAATTCATGGCTGTGACCTCCCTGATTGAGTCAAACCATTTGGCATGCAGTCTTCCTCTCCTTCTACCATCCACCTTTCCTAGTATTATTTGCTTTTTTAGTGATCCGTATCTTCTCATTATGTGGCTAAAGTACAACAGCCTCAATTTGATCATCTTGGCTTCCAGGGAAAGTTCAAGCTTGATTTGATCTAGAAACTATTTGTTTGCCTTTTTGGCTGTCCATTGTATCCTAAGCACTCTTCTCAAGCATCACATCTCAAATGAGTTGATTGTCTTTCTGTCTGCTTTCTTTACTGTCCACCACTTACATGGTGATGGTGAATACAGTGGCTTGGACAATTCTAACCTTAATGCTCAGTTCTATGTCTTTATACTTTAGAATATTGTCTAGTTCTTTCATAGCTCCCCTCCCCATTCCTAGTCGTCTTATTTCTTGACTGCAGTCACCATTCTGATCTGATCCTAGGCATGGAAATTCTTTAACTTTTTTGATTTCTTCATTGTCTAGGTTGAATTTATGTATTTCCTCTGGTCATTTTTTTCTTTATGTTCAGCATTAAGTCTGCCTTTACACTTTCATCTTTGACTTTCCGTAGTAACTGTTCCAAGTCTGTGATGTCTTCCACCAGTATTATGGTGTCATCCACATATCTTAGGTTGTTGATGCTCCTTCTTCCTATCTTCACACCTCCTCCTCCTGAAGCTAACCCTGATTTTCTTATGATGTTTTCAGCAAAATAATTGAATAAATATGGTGATAGAAGGCAGGCTTACTTTATCCCTTTGTCTATTGGGAACCATTCTGTTTCTCTGTATTCTGTTCTGATGGTAGCCTATTGTCCTTGATACAGATTTCTCATCAGGACTATCATATGTGGTGGCACCCCCATGCCTTTGAGAATGTTCCATAGCTTTTTGTGATTTATACAGTCAAATGCTTTGTCAAATGCTATAGTCTATAAAGCATGTGCTGATTTTTTCCCTGGAATCCCTTGATGCACTCCATTAGCCATCATATTTTTGCAGTATGGTCCCTAGTGCCTCTTCTTTTCCAGAATCCTGCTTGCACCTAGTACACATAATGAAGAACAGATAAGGTTGCTATCTTATTAAAACCTTTATTTTAGTATCCTACAATTTTATTTTTCTATATCTTACCTAATTCAGTTAAAATTATTAAGCAATTGGTTTTCAAATCGCTAGGTGTAAAAGAGGGCTAGTGTGGTATTGTGGTTTGAGTGCTGGACTAGGACTCTGGGAGACCAGGGTTCAAATCTCTGCTCAGCCATGGAAACCTTGGGCAAATCACACTCTCTGAGTCTCAGAGGAAGACAGTGGTAAACCTCTGAATAAATCTTGCCAAAAAATAGATTGAAGCCAGTTTGAAGGCACATAACAATAACACATTTACTGTTTTATCCCATTCATTTATCTTTATTTTATTGTTTAATTTGTTGAGTAAAGACCATTTTTGTTTCCATGCAACAAAGGGTATCAAATTTTATGGAAAATAGCTACAATTTAACCAGTTACCTAAAGTGAAAATGGTGCAGTTCACATAAAGAAAGCAAAGCACACGACAATTTCATATCAAGCAAAAGCAGGGAGTAAAAACAGGGAAGGGAGGACTTATTTTTGTCAGAGGAGATGTTTCAGATTTACTTTGTCACTACAGAAATTAATAACTTGGTGCAGCTCATGCAAATCTATTTATTATTTTGACAGATGATCTTTGGGTTGTTTCCAAGACTCTACATTTTGAACCCTTGGACACTTTCATTGCATGCAGTGTTTTCTTTGGACCATCTTCTAGCAATGAAGTGGAGCTAGTACCTCTGAAAGGTTATAGCCCCTCAAACTGGTGCTCAAATAGTAAGTTTGTTTCTTAGTGAGCTTAGCATAGCTCACTTAAAATACTAATATTTTCTTTTGTTGACTTAGCTCTAGTCAAAGTACCTTATCCCTTAAGACAGGGGTAGGCAACCTTTTTGAGCCGGGGGGCTGGGTTGCTGTCCCTCAGACAATTGGGGGCCCGAAGCACAATAAATAAATAAAAATAAAAGTAAAAATAATTAAAAAAATAAAAAATATGCATGCACACTCTCTCATGGCAAAAAAGCCATGGCAAAACCCCTGTGGAGATTTTGCCAAGAAAACCCCAAGAACAAGTAATAACAACAATAATCAATATCATCATGGCGGGCAGTGGCAGTGGCGGGGGGTGGCAGCAGCAACGGTGGCAGGACCGGCCTGGGGCCGGTCCAAAGGCCTCAGAGGGCCGCATCTGGCCCCCAGGCCTTAGGTTGCCTACCCCTGCCTTAGGAACACTGAGAAAGCAGGGATGGGGTGGAAAAGGTAAGAACAGTTTGGACAGAAACATAACTACCTGTTTTTTTCATGGGTTTACAGCCATTGCTGAAAGTATATTGATAGAAGAGATAGTGACAGATTCAGGAGTCAAGTGATCCAAGTAATTCATTGCTAGGTATGTAGGATGTAAAAAAGGATAATGCAAACCATGATGAATGATCCTGAACCATTGTGACTTCAAAGCACTGATGAGAGCAAAAGTAGTCAAAAGTGCATGTTGAGTTACAGAGCAATATAGGTGTTCTTTAAGTGGATGTTACAACTCCTATGTGGTCAAGAAATGCCTGTATCACACGTGACAAAAAGTTTTGGGGTGGTTTTTTTAGTGGTTTTATTTGTAAAAGAGGAGAAAAGACAAGATTTGTAGTCGAATCCTGTGCATGTTTCCTTACAAGTAAGTTCCACCGGACCCACTACCCATTATATCCAACTGCCAGTGTTTTAATGCCAATATTCAATGAGTGCCATGATCACTCTTGGAATACTTTTTACAGTACTGATTCAACATCTCAAGAGAGTGAGTGTGTGTTATTGGAACTGGAAGAGGCTGACTGAGGGAAAAGGGAATGGGGAAGACAGAATGGAGCAGCTCTCCTATGGAGAAAAGTAATGTTCAGGATTTTTTAATTAGGGAAAAGTGTATAAAGGGAGGATATTACTAAAACTAATAAAATTAGTGTGAATTGTCTTACATAGTATGGCCCTGGTAGATTTTTCTGTAGCTAAGTCCATTTGCTAACCCTTTTTCTTGTGATTTTCTCCTAGTGGTAGTCCATGCCTTGCTAGTCTGTAATGCTAGTACTGAACTCACAACTTTGAGGAATATAGAAGAACACCTCAATTCAGCCACTTTACCAATACTGCAGCATCTGCTTGCAAAGTATGTATTTATGCTATTTTATATTTTCATGCAGTTTTAATAAATCTAAATACTATAATGTAGTTTTAAAAGGGTGGAACAAACTGATGTGTCTTTGCTGCATAAAATAAATATTGCAGATTAATTTTCTTGTGGAGGTGTTTTATGTAAGTCTGTATAATCAAAAGTTATTAGTCTTATTAAAATTCATAATTTGTACTCACTGTGATCTCTTGATCTTTTATCTATGGCAATTCTCAAAAATAAAGATACATGGGAAAACTAAATGTATTTTTGTAACATTATTTTAAGCATTTATAGGTGGAAAATGAAGACAATATATCTGTAATCATGTATTATTGAAAACATTTCTACTCTGATTTTAAGCTAAGAAGGTTTCCAGAACAGCTTACAAAGATAAGAAACAATATTGTCCCTATCCTACATGCTCACAGTCTAATTCTGTAGTATAGTTTTTATGTACAGTTTGCCCTTGGTATCCGGTGGGATTTAGTTCCAGGATACCCTGTGGATATCAAAATCTGTGAATGTTCAAGTCCCATTAAATACAATGCATAATAAAATTTGGCCTCTTATATAAAATAGCAAAATCAAGCTTTGTTTTTCAGAATTTATATATTTGTGAATATTTTCAAGCCGTGGATGCTTGCATCTGTGGAATAAATAAAATCCATGGATATGGAAGACTGACTGTATATACAAAACTGGTCACAATATATTGTAATAATATTTTTCTTGATTTTAATTTTTAAGAAAAATGATTTCCAAAACATACAGCAAAGTGGTTGAAAAATGGAACATTTAGATTAAAAGTAAAGCAACTTGAAATTTGAATGTGGAATGAAAGAAAGGCTTATGCAGTATTAAAAATGTAAGCAGATTTGTGCATATAGTGATGGAAGAGAATTTCTAATGACTCTCTTGATTAGAATCCTAATTAATATAGATGTAAGTTAATTATAGCACTGCCGCTTGAAATGTGCTTATTCTTCTTTTGTGCTTTTCAGGCCTTGCAAAAATATATCTCCCAGTAAAAGAGTAAGGAAAAAATATTTCAAACCACCAGCTTTAAACACAAATATAATAACCTCTGGAGTTCTGAGCCCAGAAATTATGATGAATTTGGCAAACAAGATGATTGAGACATTTCAGCTAAATAAAGATCAGTCAGTGGCATTGACTCAGATAGGTGCCATGATGACATTGCAAGAAATTGAAATAGGGAAACAGTGTGTTCTCCCTATAACTGTAATACATGGTAAGTTCTTTTATTATATGAACTTAGACCCTTTGTTTCTATAGCTCTTATGTGTCTAATCTTTTCTTGAGAGGGCTATCCATAATGAGTTTTCCTTTTTAAAAAAGTTGTACATTGTTTTACTCTTGTTCCAGTAATCTTTTTCTAGATTTTTTCTTCTGTTTGGTCTATATATGCAGTACTTTCCTTGAACGTACTGAATACCACTAGCCTTCTGAGAGAAAGAAAGCCTTCTTACCAAGTATGTTCTCTGTCACTACTTATCAGTGCAATCTCTTTTTTTAATGGATTAGTCAGAAGTGTACAGAGCATTCTAAAAGTGTGCTTGCTGTTTGTGGGGTGGGTATGTAATTTCTGCTTTACTTTAGGTCCCCCCCCCCGAATAAAAACATAGCGTAAACCTAATTATAATATAATATAAACCTATTTATAATATAGAAAATAAGATAAGAGGTTACATGTAATCAGCTTTCATTCAGATAATTTAATTCTCAGTAAACTCCTAACTGGTATGCTTCCTGTCCCTAGTCAGATTCATCAGTTTAGTCATTTCAGCAGTCCAATAAATGTAAGAATCCTGAGCAATTGCAAAGGGGGCCAGTTTTCTGCCCTAGGGTCTTCCAGGGACTGGATGGTATGGAGAGACCCTGGCAAATTGGAATGTTTAGAACAGCCAATCAGAGACAAAAAAAGTGAAGGTCTGCCTGATGAGTGGCTATAAAAAGGGGGAAGAGCCATTAGGAAAAAGGAGTGTGTCATAATCCGCCAAAGGTGCAATGAGAGATAAGAGTTTAGCCTTAATAGGATTCAGATTCCTATGTAAGACAGGCAGGATTTGAAAAGGACCAAGAAAGTCCAGTGATATTAAAAGACTGTGTTATGTTATCTGTGAAGTAAAGAGCTAGTTCAAGGAGGCTCATAACCACCTTGTTCTGGGGAAATGTAAACCACCTTGTTCTGGGTATTTGTGAATTGCACCAATCTTTGGCAGAATTTAGACTCCGGGTGAAAAGGGCTTTAATGGCTGCCAGTCCATTTCTGGGCATAATTCAAAGTGCTGGTTTTGACCTATAAAGTCCTATACAGCTATTTGAAGGACCGTATCTCCCTGTATGAGCCCCCCAAAGTATTCAGGTCCTCAGGAGAGGCCTTTCTCTCTGCCCCACTACCCTCTCAGGCCTTCGCATGACATGGATGCTGTTTTTGTGTTAAAGACTTTTAATTTTAAAATTTTAAGAATGCAATTTTTTTAATTGTTTTACTTGTTTTTTTATACTTTGTATTTTTAATGTTTTCGACGGTTTTAACGTGGACTCTTTTAGAGTTGTTAGCCACCTTGAGTCCCTGTGTTGGGTGGAAGGTAGGATATAAATAAACAGAATAAATAATAAATATTTATTGAAGCTGGTGTTTAGAGAATTAAGACACAGCTTCAGATGGGAAACAAATCGTTAAGGGGACTTGAACAAAGACAATTTGTAACAACTGAAGTATTATATATATATACAACAAGCCTTGAGAACCAACTACCAAAATAGATACTGTCATAAGTTCTGCCTGTAAATAAAAGTTATTTTCTTCTTGTTCACGAAGGTGTGACCGGAAGTGATTTTATATATAACATAAAAAACACACTACCAAGAGTATTAAAAACACTTAATAGTAGAGACACTTAAGTCAGTGGGAGGACCAAGGGTTAGAGAGATAGTTCTGAGGGAAGAAAAGCCTCAAACTATTTAGGATAAGACAGAGAAGAATTCTGTGTAACCTGGTGGTCACA